GGAGGTAAGTACCTACTGAGCACAATCCTGCTGATGAAACTACCAGATCAAAATTTAATGCCAACAAGGTAATTTCAGATGTTTGGTTCCAAGGACCTAAATTCCTTAGAGAAGCAGAAGAGTTTTGGCTTGTCGAAGATCGTGGAATGCCTGAGACGCAAGAAGATGATCCTAAATGTAAAGAAAAGGAAATGCACGCCTAACAGTTTTTGAGAAAGGAAATTATCTTCCAGATATATCGAGGTCTTCTAACTGATTGAGACTAGTTCGAAGTACAGCATGGTGCCAAAGATTTATTTCAAAAATTAAGGGACGAAAACACTCTCCGAAGGAACTTTTAGTCAAATAGCTTCAGACAGCAGCAAATTTGTCTGTAGAAGAAAGTCAGCTTAAAAGTTTTGGTAAATAAGTAAGACAGTAACAGCAAGGGAAAGCTGTAAGTATTCATAGTCAACTTAGAAATCTTTGTTCCCAGTTGAAAAGTGAAATATTAGTCTTGGGAGGAAGAACAGATGTGGCAGCAAACCTCGACAAAGAAACAAAATTTCCGTGCATTTTAGATTCAAAACATCCGTACAGTAAACTTATTATGAGAAAAACGCTGGGGAGTAATATTTACATGTCTCTCTGTCCGGGCAATTCATCTTGAAATCGCCCATATCCTTAATAGTGATTCTACTACCGTGAGTATTTTACGGATGATTGCTAAAAGAAGAGTCATATGAAGGATTTCCTGTGATAATGTATTGAATTTACGTTGTGCTTTAAAAGAAATAAAAGAAGCTCTTGACAATATCGACCAAAGAGCGTTAAAACGTTCGTGGTCGGTAAGAGGAATTGACTTCCACTTCATACCACCTTCGGCTCCCCATATGGCAGGCGTATGGAAAAGATTAATAGGCAGTTTCAAGAGAATAATATGGATAATATTTCATTATCAAAGTCTGCTGGAAAACATATTACAGACCTTATTTGCTGAAGCAGAAGCTATCGTCCTTGAAATTTGACATTTTTTCCTATCAATCCTGATGCAAACAGTCTACGAAGAGAATGGAAGAAATCTAGAATGCTCGCTACGTCCTCTTGGGAAAGTTAGACAAAAAAATATCTGCCTTCTCTCAATAAAAGAAACAAATGGACTTCTGACCACAAGTCATAGCAAGAAATGATTACCAAGAACACAGATATAAATGGAAACTAGCTAGAGTTACAGCTACTTATCCCGGACCTGACGGAAGAATAAGAGTGGTTGATTTAAAGACGACTAATAAAAACTATCGAAGGCCGGTCTCAAAAATATTCAAGCTGGAACTAGAAGAATTCTGAGAATCTTCTAGGATGGAGAAACCATGAGCTAAATCTGCCGTTCTTATTTTTAGAGACGTTATCACTAAATACTTTAGGTTATTAGTTGGTATATAGTTTTTGATAGACGATTATTATCAGATATAAAGGAATGTTATTAAAATATTTTAAAAGGAAAATAGCAGACTTTTCTCTAAACACCAAACAGAAAGACTAACAATAATATTCCCGCACTAATAATGGATGCGTTTAAAAATTTTGAAATCAATAGGGAATATGTGATTTTGTGTAGTGGTTATCGAAAAAATTATTTTTCATAATAAAATGTTACTAAAAATAAAATTTAAATAACAAAATGAAAACTACTATATTAATAAATTATTTTATTCGTTCCGAAATGTAAAATAAAAACCCCAATTAACCTTACAAAATTACAGATTTATTTAATTTTAATTTATAAATTTAATAATATTATTTGTAATCAACAAATAATTAGCACAGCAGTGGCTTGCAAAGCTAAAAGTCATAGTGTCCTGAATTCACGCATTTCTGCAGTCAGATTAGGCGCCATCGCTCACGTTCGTAGTTCTCAGAGATGCACTTAATTGTAGTCCTACTTGAAATTTAAAAAAAATCATTATTATAGCTCGTTAACTTGCTACAACTGAATGTTAAATTATAAAACGTAAATAGACGAGTAAAATGTACCTACCTGTAAGGACGTTTGGTTCAAACAAGGTACCAGACGTGAACTGTTCCCTTTTTGTACCTCATTCGTTTTTTTTTCCAGACAACGAAATTACAAAGCAAAAACCATAAAGGAAAATAAATTCTTTGCAAATAAAACAAAACTATAAAATAATTTAGAAAAATGAATTTTTTTAAAAGAAATAAATGAATACGAACTAATAAAATGTTAACAATGAATTAATTTGATGACTCTCGGATTACCAATAATGAGAAATAAGAAAGTTAATTCGAATCTAAATCTGAACCATCTGTCGATGAATCGAGGTTTGTATATCTTAAGTGCCTTTTAAAAGTAACGACTCCGTAGACTAGGCCACAAGCCATCACTGTTTGTAGTACAGCCTATTGAACTTTTCACAATAGTTATTTGTTACAATTTCTCATGTAATTTAATTCTAAATAATTTTTTCCTAAAAGCAATATTATCTATTATTTATGCATGAATAAATCGATTATAAAATTGACTTTTATTTAAACAGAAAGCCCCTAAAATGTTCTTTGTTGCCGCGCTAGAACAATTTTCATTGAAAATCAGTTGATGTGCGATTTTCTAAAGCTGCCTACTCTCTTTTGTTTACTACACGACCAGTTAAAAACAACATTGAACCTCTGATTGAATTTAAATACCAACCATCGTCTGATTATCTAATCTCGCCGAGTAAACACACCGTATATAATTATACGGGTATAGAGAAGACGACAAGGGGCGGCTTCGTGTGGGTGGCGCGGGGGCTCGGGGAGTGATGAATGTGTATGTTTAGCTTCGTTAGTTGGCGACAGACTTTAATTATCCCTCCAAGGATACTGGCGGCATTAGCTTCTGTAGAAACGATACACAAGCTTCATTAATGTTTTATACGCCGTGAAAACTTTGGTTTTAGAGTTTTGTATATACTAATTCCTTTTTTGTTGTGGAACAGTTTTGTCTAGTTATTAGTATCAGGTGCACGAAGTCTAGAAAGATTATTAACGTTTTGTTTTATCGTTCATTTGCCTTTGTTTGAGTTTTTTTTTATTATTACTTCTGAGAGTGGTGTACCTCTTTAACACGGAGAAAAAATATATATTATAATGTTCTGATTAAGAACTCCGATGCCCGATTACACCAACCTATTTTTAAGTAATACCCACCTAAGTAATTCCTAAGCTAGGAAATTTTCAAGTACGATACTTACCTTAGTTAGGAAATACCTACTTAAAAATCTGATGTGTCCAACACATGACTTTCCTATCTAGTTTTTATAGGCTTTTTCCGGTTATTTTATACAACCTATTGCAGCATCTCTATAAATGTTTAGATGATAAACTAAATATATACATTGTCCACATACATCTACCTCGAAACATTTTTCTATAGATATTCATTGATAACGAAAATACTGAAAAATTTAAATTTAGCACTTTTCCATTACGGTCCATTTTAGAAAAATCATGTATAAACAAAAATTATAGAGATCGATATCGCAAACAACTTTTAGTTCAACAATTTTCATAAAAATCAGAATTTTGCACATTTTGTCAAATTTCTCGAATACGGACCATTTCAGGAAATTTTGACATAAAACAAAAATTATAGATAATAATATTAAAAGTAACTTTTATTTGAACAATTTTCTCCTCCGAACATAAATAACAGATATATTCAATAAAATATAAAAACAGCCTCCCATAAAGTACCCCCTAGATGTTCCGACTTTGTCCAAAATCTAATCATTTCACGTCAGGCCGAAATAAACCTTAAGTTTAAAATTTAATGTTTTTTTATTTATCCGTTTTTGAGTTTTCTTCAAAATTCGAAATTTACACATTTTCTCAAATATCTCGAATACGGTCCATTTTAGAGAAACTATGTAGGGAATAAAAATTATAGAGAATTAAATTGCAAACAACTTTTGTTTGAACAATTTTTATTAAAAAATATTTTTTTTTACATTTTGTCAAATTTCTCGAATACGGACCATTTTAGGAAAATTTTGTATATAACAAAAATTATAGATAATTATATTATAAGTAACTTTTATTTGAAAAACTTTCTTCTCCAAACCTAAATAACAGATATATTCCATAAAATATAAAAACGGCCTCCCATAAAGTACCCCCCTAGATGTTCCGACTCTGCCCAAAATCTAATCAGTTCATTAGAGGCTAGAATAAAGCTTAAGTTTAAAATTTGGTGTTTTTCTGTGTATCGGTTCATGAGTTATGCGACCTACAGACACACACACACACACACATACACGCACGCACGCACGCACGCACGCACGCACGCACGCACGCACGCACGCACGCACGCACGCACGCACGCACGCACGCACGCACGCACGCACGCACGCACGCACGCACGCACGCACGCACGCACGCACGCACGCACGCCCGCACGCACGCACGCACGCACGCCCGCACGCACGCACGCACGCACGCACGCCCGCCCGCCTCGAAGTCGAAAACTCGAAGTCGAAAAAAATCATGATTACTATACTTTCCTTATATCTGTATACAGATAGGAAAGTAAAAATTTGATTTGGATAGTTTTATGAATATAGTTGGCATTACTGTGCAATTTTAACATGTAAACAGAATAGGTGGAGATTATAATTTAACATTTAGTAAGAAAAGAAGAAAACGAAGATTGTTATTAACCTCAAATTTCACTTGTTGGTTCGAGTGTGGTTGATTATTTTTTAATTTTGTTAATTTTGGGTATTTTGTTATGAGTAAACGTTGAGTGAAATTTTTATTTGTGACTTTGTATTTAATAATTTTTATATTGTGACGTCAAAGAAGGTGAAATTGCTTGCTTTATTGCAAATACACAGTGACATTTTAAGCAAAAAAAACATATTTTACATTTAATAAAAAAAAAATAAACGGCTTGGATGAAATTGGTTCAAGCTTTCAATTTTTCAATTCAAATAACAATATTAACAGGTAACATTATTTTCCAGGGTTACTTATGTTTTAGGAATGTAGATAACTTGAAACAAATGAGGAACAAAATGAAATATGAAGCCAAAACCTATAAAAGCAAACTAAAAGTGGATGTAATGGGGACAGGGGGTGGGCCAAGCACCCTCAAAGAAAATAGTATATTGGAAGAGGTGTTACGTTTTATAGGAAGAGCAGGTGTTGGAATAGAAAACATTCCTGATTATGATTTTCAGCCTGCTATAGGTAAACAAAACAGTTACGTTTTTAAAACTCATTTTTGTTGTCGATATAGACGTAGGTCCTATAGAACCTTTCTTTTTTGAAAATGTATTAACCGAGAGTAAACCATTGGAAACTTGTGTTACTCAGGAACCTCAAATTCAAGTTGAAATTGGTGAGACAAGTGCAACCTTTCAGGTGCCTCTTGTTCAACCTGCAAGCACCAGCAGACAAATAACGCCTTCGAGAAGAAGACCAGTTGTAAAAGCTTCCATTAAAGAACAACTGAACAAGGAAAAAGTACACTCTGAAAAATGAAAATAAAATATTTTAACTTAAGATATGACGGGCCGCCCCTGTGAGGGTGTCTTAATAATACGAAACTCGCGAGTGTGATGACGTAAGACAGTACGAGATGATTCCTTCCCACCCCGCCGCAGGAACGGCGAGAAGAGATTGGTGGTCCGGAAGAGGAGAGAGATTTTTGACTCTCGATCGAGAATTGTCTCGTTTCCCGTAGGTGGTACTGTGTGGATTTTTTAACCTGAATTCATGGTCAAGAGTGACCAATAGTTTTTTTTGCATAACTGTTAGTGAATGATTCCAGCCGAGTTGCCAAGAGATCGTCAAGACTAAATAAAATTTAGTCTAGTTAGTGTGCCATAATATTTACATAGTGCTAACGTTTTAAGGTATTTTTGAAATTAACTTTTTGTGCCGCGTTTAATCAAGTTACGTCAATCTGACTGTCTAACGGTTACGCAAAACACCCTTCTATAAACTTTGTATTAACTATTTTTTTTTTGTTACCTATTGATATATTATTCAGCACTTTTGCTTTTTTTTTGTAATTTGTTCCACGCTATTTCTATCTTTTTTTTAATTAAAGTTTTATTTTTGACTTACTCGGTGTTTGGATTTACTTAAATTTAAAAGAAACCTAATCCTAAATAAAAATTAAGGGTCTCAAGTTCACACGCACCAGATCGGTGTCCTTCAAAGAGTTAAATAATGGAGTCCTAAGGAGATTCGAAGAAAAGGAGCTCTTTGAGATAGTGAAAAGAAAAGTGGAGCAAAGTATTCAATTGCGAAGCATTATTTTACAAAAATTAGAAAGTAAGATTTTGTAAACTTGCTTCATATCTTTATATTAAAATGTTATATTTTCTAGATAACGAAGATGTAGACCCTTCCTTAATACAGGCTACTTTTAAGGATTAAAACTTGTTTTACCAGGTTACTTGGGTTATTGATTTTATTGAAGACTCATTATTCATATTGTATATTTGTTTCATATTACATATTAATAGTAGTAGAAGTAGTAGTAGTATTGTATAGTTTATTATTATTGTATATATTAATATATTACTGTAAATACATTTTATTAATTCATTGTGCCACCTGGTTTTGTGGAACGTGACAATGGGCTATTAATTCTTCAAACTCTAACTTAATTACCTTGTACTATCAAAATGTCCAAAAGGATTAAGAGTAAAAACTCAAGATATGTATCAAAGTTCATTGGCTTCAGTACAGCATGACAATTTAGCTCTCACTGAAACTTGGTCAGAAGATTCTATACATAACTCCAAATTTATTAACACATAAATATTTGATTTTTTTTAGATCGAATATTTGACAAATAATTCCAGGGGCTTAGGCTATTTATTAGCTGCACAAAAAGAACTTAAAGCTCTTTATGACATAAAAGTAAATGTAGACTTTCCTAATCTGCCCAATATAGACATCATCTCGGCCAGAATCAAGTACAATGGCGAATATGTATTTGTCATTAAGTGTGTTATTGTAGTTTTTTTTTTAGTATTGTTACTAGTCATTATTGACATACCTACAATTTTAATCTAAAAATCTTATGAACTAATTCCTTATCTAAGAAGTCCGTAAGCATCACAAGTTAGCGTGACGATTTATTACCCTGTTTTACACTCGCACTAACATTAACATTCACAGCACTAGCTCAAATGGCTTTTTCCTTTTGAGTTTTCTATTGAGTGTAGAGTTGTCCAGTAATTGCAGCGCTTTTTCGTTGACGTGGGAGTGGAATCCACCCTCATGTTTTGCAGCAAACCATTTTATTTCTTCTTTGACTATTGACATCTTCAGGTCTCTATGAAGATAATCATTTCTATAGAACTAAGGTGCATCAACGATGCAGTGACCTGTTGTGTCCCGTCGGCCGTCTTCGATTGACATTTTAGCAATATAATCTTTATGCTTTTTGTCAGGCATTGCTTTTTCAACTGATTGGGACATCCTCTCACTCGTCCCGTTTTGTTTTCGTTTGTGCCCAAGTAATACCCATCGTAGTAGATTCTTTCGGTTTAGTTTTGCTACAAAACCTTAATTCTTAGGGCATACATTGGTACTAATATTGCTACTTTATTGGCTATGGCTACGGTAATGGTTCTTTTAGAGTAACTGTTACTAAACCGATACCATTTAGTGTAGCTGTAAACACCCAAAACTATATAGTATTTATCTACGAATATAACCAGTTTATATTGTCCATTTTATTTAATTCAAACAGCTTACAAATTAAAAAATATCTTTTTATGACCAATACCAATACCTGATTAACTAGATAGGAAAAAGTTATTAAAAAAAATTCAAAATAGAAAATTCTTTAAAATAAATCATTTTTCCTGGATAGGTTAGTATCGCAGAATACAGTTAGAACCGAGTTAGAATTAAGTTAAAAACATCTACCGTTAAATTTACAACAAAAAAGAATTTGTGCACACACACATTATTGTTCGCGCATGACGTATTGTTGTGTAGAATATCTGATTGGCCATGAGTAGATTACAATTTATTTTCACGTGCCTTTTTCGATCAGCTGATACCTCAAATTCATAAAAGCTACGCCTCCACGCCATAATATGTCACCTTGACGTAGTATTAATCGGAGTAATATCTCATACTTTATTTTTATAGTATCATGAATATTACATATTGGCAAAATGTATTTGAGATTAGGATATTTTAATGGAAAGCGCCGCCATACAGTAGTGTTCGGGACTAAATTAGTAGCAGTTGCCTGACTACTGGATATTTATGGTGTTTAAAGTAACATCTCAGTGGAGTAGGTTACTGTGTTTGAAAAAAATTACAAAATCCTTAGTTGCAAAATAGAATCTAATACTATACAGTTACAACAGCATAGTAACTATTGGGTCACCAAAGTTACAGATCCTCTAGAGTTAAATGTGGGTAGTCCCCTATACTTTATTAAAAAAAATTGGTTTAAATCAAAAATAAATAAATAAATGTTTCCCTAATAAATATTAAAAAATTTAATGGTGCATTTTTAAATTATTTTGTCAAAGAAATACAGGGAGCGTTGAAATTTTATTTAAGTATGTCAACTTATATCAGAAAAGTAAATTGCGTTTGAAAAACTGGCTACAGAAGTACGAAGTACTCTGAACCTCTTAAATAAATTAGGACACTGAATACACATCAGCTAGTCTTATAATTATGAATATAACGACACAAAGCGGTATTCCGTAGGTCAAATTGAATTTTACAATTTTTCTATGGCTTTCACTTCTCGGGGTTTAGGAATTTATTCCAGAATTTCGTTCGGTACTAATTTTATGTTTCGAATTAATTTAGAACTTAAGGTCACAGCTAAAATTTGCAGTTTTCATATTTATAATTCAGACGGCCTCAATTTATAATCCGAACCCCATTTAAGTTGAAGTGGTTGTTGGCGAAGTGTTCCTAAGAACTAAAATTGCTTTGACATTTTTAATAGAAATGGTAATTTTTTATTTTGGTTACATCAAAATGTTCTTGTATTAGGCATTAAGCATCGAATTATAGGGAATATAAGAGTTACTACTAATGAAATATGGACATATTTAGAAAAATAGTATAAATTGAAAATATATTGGATTAGAGGAAACTGCAAAATATAGGAATTTTTGAAATCAAAGAAATGAGATCATATCCTCAATAGATGGGACATCAAAGCAAAATCTTGGCTTAAAATCGCCAATTCCAAATTTGTTTTTATGATGAAAATTCCTAAAAATTATGATTATGAAAATTAACTTGAATCATTAAAAAAACTTATATGATAAAATTATGTTTAAATGGGTCAAGGATAGAAATACTTATATTTTTTTTTTGAAATTCCGTACTAGTACCATCCCTCTCAAGATTTACCCCTAGTAAGTACCTAGTAAAGTACATTTTTTGGTCATACTAATGTTAATGAAGATTTTCTTTTTATAATAGTAATAATAATTTATTTTTGTTCATACTATTAATAAATGAAGATTGTCTTTTTATATTAATAATAATGTGATGTTTGTTTATTTTCTCCTCGAAGGGCGATGGTCAAATTTATTGCCTTCTCTCGTTCAGACCACTTGTTTGCTCTGGCAGCTTTCGAACTGCTTAAGGTAGTTCGTCCATGACATCTTTCTGTCGAAAGTTGGGGCCTTAACACGAGGAGAGTTTACAGCTCCTTCCAATTTCAACTTTGACTCCACCTCATGGCACTTTATTTCACCGTCCTTGGCAGGTTCTGTATGTTCGAGTTCTTCTATTTTCTTATCCATCTCTTTTATTTTTTCCTCAATGGAAGACATTATTTTCTCCTCGACTGATGATACCTTATTTTCCATGGAAGAAATTTCAGAAGACACTTTTTCTTCTAAAGAAGAAATGTTAGACAAAAATTTATTTTCCATACAAGACATTTTGTTTTCCAAGTCGGAAGAAATTTCATCTTTTAAAGAGGAGATATCAGAAGAAACTTTAGTTTCTAAAGAAGATATTTCGTCTTTCACGGAAGAAACATCAGAAGACACCTTTTCTTCTAAGGAAGAAATGTCTGAAGAAACTTTATTTTCCAAAGAAGAAATGTCTGAAGAAATATCGGTTTTCATAGAAGTCATATCAGAAGACATTTCGGTTTTTAAGGAAGAGATTTTACTTTCCATATCGGAAGAAATTGAATAAATTATAGCAGAAGATGAATCATCAGAAAATAGATACGTTTCCGAATCAAAACCTTCATTTTCCAGTGCTTCTTTAAGCCTCTCTGTCAGTTCTGCTTTCTTCCCTGTCGTCTCCAACTCACGATCTTCTAACTCCCGACGTAGCTCGGTCACTTTTAAATCACATCTTTTAGCCATTATTGTCCACTATTTATTTACACTATCTCACTTCTCAACACCAATGTGATGTTTGTTTATTTTCAAACAACAGTTTATTTACTAATAATTTATTTAAACACTTATTTATTTTATAACACAACTATTTCTAATTTATATATATTTCTAATGTCTTTGAATCGTTCACTATTTATATTCACAGTCCAATACTTTGTTGTCAGCTGTCTATATATCACTGATTACTATTTATCTTCACTGTTCATATAATACTGATTCTGATGACTCTCCTCCACCAATTTATATACAAATTGGTGGTCTATAATGCTCCCTCACCAAAATTGCCAGTATGTACCAGAAACGTTATCACGTTCTAGAAATAGTATCTCGTTGACCCTGGAATGTTCGCGAAAGTGTCTCCACCATAGTCGTCCCATAGGTTTGGTCTTAAGGGGTTTAATTATGTATAATAATCGGACAAGTTGAGCCTTAAAGGCCAAATAAGACAGAAAGGAACTTGTAGGGTTAGAGCATGACTGAATAATGAAATGGCTCACATAACAATAATTTATTTTATGAATATATAAATTAAATCAGTATATTTTATTACAAAGCAACTAGCAACAAATAACCCCTCAACTCGTTTAGAGGATCCATAGAAAAAAAGAAAAACAAGAAGAAGCCAATTTTAGTTATCGAAATTATATAAAATAATTTATTTCATATTATAAAAACATCAAACACAAAATTAATTATAACCTAGAACTTTCTATAATTCAATTAAAATAAAATAGCTTTCATAGTACAAAAGGGATTATTTATTACGAAAATGCATCTTTGCATCATATAATAAAATTTGTATCCATTAGAGCACTCAAACTCCATTTCATACTACCATATAATTAGTTTTATTGTGTGTTTGAGAAACTTTCCAGTCGCAGCCATATTGAAAATAAAGAAAGTCCTCTCGTTGGACCAAATATGGTCCAACTTTGGAGTAATTTAATCTGTACCCACACCCTTATGTACCAAAGCAGAAATTATACATTCAGAATTCAATTTGCAAATGCATTTCAT